TAATTTTATTCCACTTAATAGGAGGATAAACTCACAGAACATCTACAGGTGGGGTGAAATCCCTATCAACCTATACTAGGAAACATGAACAAGAGTGGTCTATGCAACATAATACACACACACACACACACACACATGTATGCACACATATACACACACACATACACACACACTCTGCAAGTAGTTTGGAAACACTCAAGAATGGATCCAGTATAGAAGGCTTATAAAATGGAGTATCCTGCTACAAAAAAAAAAATCAATGAAGGCTCACTGTTCTGGTATAAGCATGATGTAGAGTAACAAATACCTAACATGTGTCCTAATTTTCCACCTCTCTTCATAAGTTATGAAGGTAAGGCCGGGACAAGACCCCTCCTTACTCATACCCTTTATCCAAGCTTCCAGCTTCATACCAAGAGCTGTATACTATTCACAATTGTATCCACAGAGCTCAGGAAAACATCTGGCATAAAGGAGACACCCAGCAGACATTTGTGGGATAATTGCACACATTTGAAAACAAGCTTGCATGCCAGGAAGAAGCTTAGGTGTTTGCAGCCTGAAACCCTGATGAGTGAAATCAAACTCTGGCTTTATCTGCCAGATGGCTTCATGCCGCATACGACCCTGCAGCTACTGTCATCTGCTTAATAAGAGCTTCTCCAACATCCCAGACATTTCCACACCACAGCCACTCATGGCCTGAGTATAGCCGAATCTCACCAAAAATGTGACGACAAAGGAGCTCATCTTTACTGGTTAAAGGAAAGCATAAATCTTGCATATTTTCAATCATTTAGCATAGATTCCAGAAAGTTGAGCTCGGAGAAAATACGAAATACAGCAGGACTCAGCAGGAACTCAGGAAATCAGACAACTCTAGCACAAGAGACTGAGGAAGCAGTTAACCATGATCAAATCAAAACCAGGCTACCATCACATTAAAATCCTGACAGAGGCTGCAAAATCTCCTGCAACTTTTTATGTGGGAAATAAAATAAAAGCAAAGGGTCAGACTTCAGTGTAGAAGATTTCATCTGTTTTTCTGTTGAAGCTCATTAGAGACTCAGAAGGCAACTATTCAGCCTTGTGGCTTCAGTCAACCTAAGCATAAAGTGCATTTTAATGTCAGCTGAGAACACCACTACCCACAGTTAACTCGATCATCTCTGAAAGATAGCATGGAATAAGAAGACTACTGTTGTCTAGTTCAGCAAATACCAAGTACATTTTATTCTATCAAGATTGTAAGAGTCCTACTGTCTATACAGTTTGAGACTGTGTATGAGTTCATTAGATATTCCTCCATCACTTCAACTATCATTTAAACAGTACTGTTTCAGGAAGGGGGATGGTTAAGACAACAAACACATCTTCAATATCTAGAAAAGACTCATTTGTTTTCTTCTTTCTATTAGTGCTACCTGGAGCATAAACTGATACACTCTGGCTTCTTCCTGCCCCCAAATGCTGTCTGTATTAGTTTTGTTCCAACAGTTTGCTGATCTCTTAGCTCACACCTAACACACTTAGTGGAAAGAGTCTGTATGTACCCTAATAAGGCTTGCAAGAATAGCTGATGAAAAAAAGATTAATACTGAAAGAAAGCTTGAAGGTGGGTACCAATGTGTGGGACTGTATAAGGGTATCCTGGGTCATGGTTGAGCAGATACTTAGAACCCCGAGATTCTCCGTGGAATTCTGCGTGAGAACCGGCAGGAGTTCGGTACCTCCCATCATCTAGGATCCTGAAAACAGCCACATTTCCATAGAGTCACATAGGCCAGGTTTTAGGCCTCAGGCCCTAGAGATTTACATACTAATGAAGGCCAGAGGGCAGAGCAAATTAAACATTCCTCCCCCAGATCCTCCCCTAATCCTCCCCCTTCTCCCTCCCTATATAACTCGGGACGGCCCTGAGTTTTTGGGGGTATGCCTAGATCCATCTATTATCCGTCATGTCAATAAACCTTTTTGGAACCAAGGACTTCCTCGTGTTACTGGGGCCTGCCGCCGCCAAGGCCCTCAGGCCGCTGGAACCGTAGGATCTTCTTCCCTGATGTGGGACCCACCACGGCAGCGCAAGCTTGCGCCGCTGTGGCGGCCTTTTTTAAATTTTCCCCACACCAATGTAGCCCAAAGCCAGGGGAATAAGAAAACTGTGGCTTGTGAACCTGGCTGGGCTCTGATACTAACCAATTCGATGCTTTTGAAAACCATCTCCCTTCTCTAAGCCACAGCTGCTGCCTCATTGGAAGAGGCTTTACTGGGCACTGTCAAAGTCCCTGTGAGCACAGCTGATCAATCCTGACACTGTAAGGAGCCCTAAAGCAGAAAAAAGTGTCCTTTATAGCCTTAGAATATCCTTAGAGAAGTTCACAATAGAAAGATGATTCTAAGAAGGGAGTTATTGAGGAAAAACTTACAATTGTAGCATCTTAGGGTCTTTCTAGACACACCATGTGAAATAAATTTGACATGTTTCATAATTATATATATTTTTTTGGTTTATCGAGACAGGGTTTCTCTGTGTAGCCCTGGCTGTCCTGGAACTCACTCGGTAGACCAGGCTGGCCTCGAACTCAGAAATCCGCCTGCCTCTGCCTTCCAAGTGCTGGGATTAAAGGCATGCGCCACCACTGCTTGGCTAATAATTATATTATTGTCTGTGATATTTGTAAATTTCACTTTTTCCTATCTTTCCTTTTGCCTACTAATGACTAAACATCTTCTATAGTCAGCTCATTGTTCATATATGGGTGTTTGTCATGTATGAAAGTATGTATGTATGTACGTATGCATGTGTGTGTATATATATTACATTTAGAGCCCAGAAGAAGATACAATGTCCCCTGGCACTGGAGTTATGGACAGTTTTAAGCTGCAATGTGTGCGTTGGGGGCAGAATTTGGGTACTCTGTAAGAGCAGCAAGTATCCTCACCTAGTGAGCCATCTCTCTAGCCCCTCGGTGCATTGTATTTAGCCCATTTCTCAACAGGGAGTTCATGTGTTCAAGGTGGGTGGGTGGGGGATAGATTTCACTCATGCACCAAGCAACTATCTAAACAAATGTACCTATTGCACTAGTTAAGAACCATCCAGACAAATTCACCTATTGCCCTAGTAATTCTCATAGTTATGCTGATAACCTAGAGCTTAGATTCAATTTTAAATTTATAAATCCATACAGGCAACACATTCTCCCTTACCCAAACCATAATAGGAGTGGGGTGATTACCCAGTGATTGGTTTTGTGAAAAACAGCATCTTCAATTTCATATCGAGATTACATGGACTGACACTTTTGGCAATCCAATCAGCCACATGATTGGTGTATTCCTTTCTTGTCGTGCTTGCTACAAGATTTACACAGTAAATTACGTAATGTAGAACCCAGCTGCAAACACTTACTAGGGTTAAGGAACTAAAGCTGTCTTTTGATTTTATGCACATAAAACATTCCATATTTACAAGTTTCCTGTTGCTTACATTCACGACTGTGACTATAGAGAGAAATCCCAGGAATGTTTCTATGAAGCATACGCACAAGGACACAAGGGTGTCCTTCCATGCATTGACTACTATGAGGCAGGCACACAAGCCCCTCTACACTGTGTGAAGCATGCACACTTGGTCCTCACCCTTCCATGCACTGATGACAGAGCTGCAGTCCTCAGTGGCTCTGCCCAGGAACCTCTGCTTTAACTCCATCATTCATTTCCCCTTTGAGGCTTGCAGATATTTAAGACAAAATAGTACTAGTTCTTTTGTTCCTGTTTTCTTTATGGCATTGTTAGTTTTCCTACTGAAGAAATGGACAATATGATATTTAAGAAAATGTTCCAATTTTGCGTTGCCCTTATACGTAGTTGTTATTTTTCTACACATTAAAGAAAATGTGAGGTTGCAGGAAATTACTGGGGTTAGTTTATCTGTGAAAGCCATTTTATTTTTTATTTTTATATTTTGAAAATGGGAAAGATAAAGGCATTATTTCATTATTTTTTTTCATGCAATATATTTGGATAGCAGTTTTCCCTTCCCCTAACTCCTCCAGCATCCTAACTATCCAGGGCAGGAAAGAAAGGAGCAACTGAGATCATACCCAGAACAGGGTGGTTGGGGCAGGAGGGCAGGGAAACAGGGGAGCAGAAGGACAGGGCACAGAGGGGAGGGGAGCAATGGAACAGGGGACAGAGAGCATTGAGAGAAGGGTGGGGGACAGGATGCTAGGGGTCAGAGTGTCAGGGGCCCAGGAGGGCAGGTGGGACAAACAAACAGAGGGTGTAGAACATGGCTCAGCCAACATCAGACACAACGTAGTGTTGCCAGAAGCAACACTGAGTTCATCATTTAATAGCATATTGATAAGCTTTTTGGTTTTTCTTTACACGTTATTATCAAACATTCGAATCTGCCTTCCGTATTCAGGCCTGATGATCTGCCAGCTATTTGTTACTAGTTTACACTAACACTAATGTAATATCATATTGTCCTTGTTTAAAAAGCATTACTTCTTTTTTTATTATAATTTATTTTTTCTCGAATCGTAATTCATTCACACAGGGGTTATAAACACAGAAAGGCAGGATGTGGGGAAGGGAATGGCACTGGAGTGTGGGTGTTCAGGGGGAATACAGATATCTTCAGAACTGGGTATCGACTGGGTGAAGGTTCAGGGGACAAGTCACTATGACTCTGCCTATGACTCGCTTGTCCTTATCTAAGTTGGTATTGTCTGCCAAGGCTACCTATTTACAAGGTCTATGATTACTCAGGCTTGTAAAGTTCCAAGTTGCGTATTTCCAGGATATTCTGAAGAGGACTTTCTGGTTTTGTTTCTTTAGTGCAGGATAGGACTGTGTTGCTCAGGCTGACTTTGAACTCATGATTATCATTCATACAGTCATACCTATCAGACCTGACCAAAGAGCTTATATTTAAAAATAAAATCAAGGCAGAAAACTCTTTATCTAGGAAGATGTTGATGTCACAATACCCTTTAATCCGCAGGTGGGCTCCTTTGTCTCTGGAGCTCTGGAGCTCTGCCTCCTGTATACGACATGAGGGTGGTACCCTTCCTCGGTCAGTGGATGCTTTTTAACAGGTTCAATGAAAAAGTCTCCATGTGGTAGATGGAAAAATCCAGTCTGTAAATATATTAAATGAGAGAGTTTATGTGAATTAAGTCTGCATAAAAAGAATACTAAAGTGAAATATTATATAGACCTTGGTACTCTCTGGGAATCTAAGAAACAACTCTCTCAAACTCTGCCATTGGGTGTTAGAAAACAGATGGCTCCTGGATGTCTTTGTAATCCTAAGTATAAGATGATTGGTCATAGATGCCTTTCAGATGCCAGTAAATACATCCACATGTTCACACAGGCCCAAAATGTCATATGCAGTTGTTCAGGTTCCTGGATCCTCCTTTGCACCACTGCTGGGGCATTTACAGATCACTAATAAAGGCCCTGCTTCTGCTTGCCCCCATGGAGTTCCTGCCTAAGCCCTCAACCCACTGATAACAGAACATTTGTCTCTGTGTGAAAATATGACCATACAGTCACCTAGTTGCTTTCCTGAATGTGTTCAATGCCTCATTCAGGAAACAAACATAAGACTGTCTGATTCATTGGATAGTTCTCTATCACTTTACAGACAGAGAGCATTCTTACTCATGGCTATGGGGATCAGTTCTATATCTGAGAATGCTGGTCCATGAGGAATTCAATCCAAGGGGATTGATATGAAAGTATATATCTTTCTACTCTTTTGTTCCCTATGGAAAACTTCCAAGTATCCATTTGAGGTACTTAGCAAAGTCCTAGCCAGCCAGGCACGTTGATACATGTCAGATATATCACTTAGCACTCTGAAGGCATATGCAGAAGAATTATGGGTTTGATGTCATCTGAGCTACAAAACAAACACTCGAGGTTCCAATCCCATCATGCCTGAGACAAAGAGTTCACTCTGGGTTACCTGTTTGAAGTTTTATATTAAGCCACCTATTCAAGAGCTCCAGACTCTGGAATGAAATGAGGTCAAACCCAAGTGACTCCTCACTTCTGATCTTGGGTAAATGATTTGCCCAGTTTCTCAGATCTCATCTAAAACACAGGTATGATTACTGGTTATTATGAAAGGCAGATGAGTCTATATAGGACTTTTAGAGAAGGCGGAGTTCTTAGCATTAAGCTCTTTCCAGACTTCTGTGTCATTTCACAGAATTTACAGAATCAGGGTGGGTGGTCATTATTTCTCCAATATAAACCCGTCCAGGCAAACAGGAGACATGGGAGGCTCTTCTCAATTTGTGTCTCTTTCTAAGTACCTGTGATGGCCATTCTTGGTTGTCAACTTGACTATGTCTGAAATGAACTACAATCCAGAATTTATAAAGCTCTTTTGTGAAAAGGGAAAGAAAAGCTTATTTCCAGGTATGGTGATTCACACCTTTAATCCCAGCACTCAGGAGAGAGAAGCATGTAATCTTTGAGTTCAAGGTCAGTTGACAGAGCAAGGACAGCCAAGCTTAGGCAGTGAAGGAAACCATTGAAAACAGAAAGAACCAGGGCCCATGTTCCAGCCCTAGCAAGCAGGAGAACTTGCGGGGCCATGTAGCTTGGGCTTTAGAGCCAAGATTTGAAGGAGTTACTGGGACAATTGATCCTGGTTAGCTGGACCTAAGAAATGAGTAGTGATTAAGAAGAGAACATCATCACTGAGATGAAAACTTTTGGGAAATGTTTTCTGAGAGCATGAAAAAACTGTGTTCCAGAGACGGCCAAGGTTGTTCCTTGTGCTGGTAGCTGAATTAGGTAATGCATAAGAGTTACCCAAGTGGTACTGGTTTTGAAGGCATGTAGGAGTCATGGAGAGCAGCTGAGGCTTGGCATTCTGAGAAGCCATGGAAAAGCCATTGGTGAAGGTGGAGCCTCAGTTGTAGTTGACAGCTGATGACTGAAGGGGTCATGCAAAGAAATTGAGGCTTGGCACCATGAATAGAGCCTATGATTGGCTATTGGTGAAACCTAGTTGCAGTGGAAAAAAACAGTGTATTGGAGATGTCAGTACCATGGGATGATCACCAAGAACAGCAGCAAAGTGGAGTGGATCAACCTGAGCTTAGAGTGCACAGAAGGCAGAGCTCAAAAAGCAACCCAAAAGAAGCCAGAAGATAATATGTGGATCCCAAATATTGGAACAAGAAGCTGGGAAGGTGTGTTGCCTTGGAGACCCCAAGATGTTAGAGATGCCAGAGTGATGGAATATCTGTAAAAGAAAGTTGCTACCAGGAGGTGGAATGTGGTAGTTTGAATTTACTTGGCCCATGGGAAATGGCATTATGAGGAGGTGTGGCCTTATTGGAGGAGGCATAACCTTGTGAGAGGAAGTGTGTCACTGTGGGGTAGGTTTTGATGTTTCCTCCTATGCTCAAGCTCCACCCAGTGTGGAAGAGAAGCCACCTTCTGGATGCCTGCAGAAGAGAGTCTCTTCTGGTTGCCTTTGGATCAAGATGTAGACCTCTTGGCTCCTCCAGCCTGGATGCTGCCATGTTTCCTGCCATGATGATAATGGACCGAACATCTGAAACTCTAAGCCAGTCCTAGTTAAATGTTTTCTTTTATAAGAGTTGCCTTGGTCGTGAAACCCTAAGACTGTACCTATTTGTCTTCTACTACCTACTACCTACCAGTGTAGACAATAATAGAGCCAGACCTCAACACTCATCTTGCCATTGGGTTTCTTATTTTGATTGCTAACCTCCAAATATCTTCATATGAAGAATAAAAGAAAGATAAAAGTTCTTTACTCTTGAGTTGTGAAAAATAGCTGTGTGACCTTGAATAGCTCAAACCCTTGAGCCACAGTGCCCTTCCTCATCGGCAAGAGGCAGCAATTCTTTATAAGCCACTGGAGACTCAAGTGAGAGGAGATGTGTGGAAGTTGCCTGCAAGGTATTTTACTTTTAACCTCAGATTTGTTTTTTGTTTTCTGACATTTCCTAGGAGATGTGGCACTCTTTTCTCTGTAGCTTTATCTGAGAAGAACTTCTGTGACAGGAAGCACTGATGAGACCCAGAGAACAGAATCAAGTAATTGTAATAAGAGAGTAGAGACAGACTCCATGCATTACGGAGATTTGGCTCTATTTCTGCTGTGAGTCAGAGACCAACAAGAGAGAAGAAAGCCTGCCTGTCGTTAATGAGACTCATTTGAGCCACAGAAACCAAGCAAAAGGCCAGGGCTCCTCAGAGAGCCTGGGCCCTGTGGTCATTTGTGCGCTGCTATCAACCTAAACATTAATGTCCCTCAAGGAAACGATTACAAAACCACCAAGAATGACTAATTAGGAGCTCTTCAGACTCAGATTTTTGGTTCAAATGGTGGAGAAAAAACAGCGAGAGCTCCACTGGAGGGTCTGCACTTTCGGTGAGCGAGATCAAGAGGAAAGGCTGAAAGCCACAGGTTTTCCTAAAAGCTTCTTTTACATCTGCATTCCTGCACTGGGTTATCCCTACAAGCACACACAGAGAAATCTATCTCAATAGTTCACAGATGCTGGAAGGAGACGCCAGAGAGCAACAGTGGAGGGCAAGGAAGGACCTATGACTGCACACGTAGGGCAGCTTGCTGCAAGACCCCCTATACAGGGATCCTGAAGAAGGGAACACAAGTGTTGCGGACGGGCCTGGTGCTGTTTGAATTTTCTACGTTAATTCCGCTCTCCTGGGAGAAGCTGCAGACTAGGAGTGAGTCAAGTACTCAGGTGACTTCTTGTGAACCAATCCCCTAATGAATAAAGGAGCCAATGACTGGGCGAGTAGGAGGGACTTCCGGGTTGGATAGGAGAAGAGAGGAAGAGGAGAGAGAGGGGATTAGTTTTGGATGGGTAGTCGATAGGGTAAGATGTAGCTACTAGTGTCTTCTGGCTTATGGCGAATCCATGAAGATTCGCCACCAATGATTCAGATTTAATATGGCTTGTGTACAAGATTAGCATTCTGGTTGTTGGGCCCAGATATTGAATTATCATTGTTTCTGAACTAGGTTTGCGAGCTATTTTTCTTCTAGCGGCAACTTGACTGAGTTCAAGAGAGAAAGGCATGGCGGCAAAGCGGGAATTTGCCTGATGTGCACCCCAAAGGCCGTGGGGGTTTTGAAGCATGGGACTGGTGTGGTAGTAACCTGCGAGTGAGAACCTAGCAAGCTAGGTGGAGAGATTTTGGAGCCATTGTGGCAGAGATTTTGCCAAGATGAGAACACCCCTCTGGTGCCATGTGGCCAGCTGCTGCTGGGCATAGAGCAGAAACTTGCCATTCTTTTTAATATTTCCCTCAACACATAAGTGGTGTGAAGAGTAGTGTAGGTGTGTTTTCAGGTTAAGCTTTTCAAAACCATAAACATAGGTGTGTGTATATAGTGCCACGTGGTGGTGGCCTAGTGGTCTGTGTGTTGAACTTGTCTTGGTTCGTAAAAGCCAGGTCATGATGGACAAATCCACACACAGTGTGTTTCCAATGGGAGAGCTGGCTTCGCACTTGGCCTGAAGCAAGCTAGCCGGGAAAATCATCTTTCTGTTTTCAGCTCTAACTTGAATCAAACAAAGCCATCTTCACCCTAGTCTTCCCTGCAACTCACTCCCTTCTCTTACCTTTCAAGGAGATTGGAGAAAGAATTGGCAAAACGCTGTGAGTTCACAGAGGCTCTCACTAGTCAGAGGAACCCACACAGAGTGAGGCTCAGGCTGAACCCAGATTCAATCTCCCTTCCACACCTCTGCCATCTTTCCTTCTACATCCGTCAACCTCAGGACACTGCTAACTCACTCTTGGAAATAAACTCACCTACCCGTTTTAACTAACTTCGACATACCTATGAATGTTTCCAAAAACCACTACTCTTTAAAAGTAATTTTAAATAAGATTTAAATATTTTATAGCATTACAAGCATGTATGTACAAGTGATAGCTGCAAGCCCTTATGTAAGTTTCATAAAGGAAACCCTCACCTAAAGGAAAAGAAGGTTACCGATCAGCCAAGAAGTTCCCTGTTCCCCCTTTGTAATCAATAACACCCCCAAAGGATTCTGTGATCCTGCTATCTCACACTATAAATTAGTTCTAAGTCTTCACTTGGTTTT